TCTCCTGCAAGATGGTAGAAATGACACTTCACTTAAGCCAGATTAATTAATCTGTGAGTATTGTTAAAGTGCGTTAGGTTTGTTCCAACCTTTGTTTTTGCTTTTTGGGCTTTTACCTTAAGGTTAACTTTTACCTTACGGCTAGCTTTACCAGACAGCTTGCTATTGCCTCACAGTTAGCTTTTACGAACAGTACAGCTACTGTGCCCTCATGATTTTGACTCGGCCTGACGCCACCTCCCTGATTTGACGACCTACAAACCACCGGAACACCGCTGCTTGTCTTCACAGAAGCCACCAGCCGGAGCAAGAACAACTAACGCTCACTGGGGGATGTAAATTTGAGTATACTATTTAATTTCTTTTTAATCTCGACCTGTGTCGCATTACCACTTTTTGTTGCGGTTTTAAAGCCGACTTTACTTAAGCTTCACTTAACTCGAATGTGAACCGACGATACGTATCAAAGGTATGACTTTACATGGTTTATGCACCAGTTCAGGTTCGATATTTGGGATTGACAAAATGTTTACGTAGCTTGATGCATTAAACTCGAATAGGTATACCTTTTTTCTTTTCTTTAAATTTGCATACCTACTTTCAACGTATGAATCAGATTATATTAAATGACCGGTCTAATTTTACGATCCCTTCCCCTGTGGATCTGTGGATAGTATGTGCCGGGAAAATGTTAAAGGAAAATCCAAATTGCAAAGTCAAAAGAAAGAAAACAAATTCATCACGTGGTTACAACAGTACCCGACAAGCCCCATACTAAATATTTTAACATCTTATTTTTATAACTCTGACTTTGTATTTTGGAGCATGAAATTACACCGTAATCAAAAATGTTTTGAAATATTTGGCAAAACTGTTGTAGATATGTCTACTAGAGATATCTTTAATTATGTTCAGAATTGTACTCCTTTATTGATATGCTAACAATGGTGAAGTTGCCGAATATTATTATGATTTAGATCATCGTTTCTTAACCTCGGGTCGCGACCCAAATTTGGGTCGCGTGCCATATCAAGATGGGTCGCGGGACTTGCGGGACTTTTTGAAAAAGCGCGCCGTAATCACTGCATCCTTAATTTAAATTAAGAAAATGTAGAAAATTGATGATTTTATTTTTTATCGGGTCGCGAGCTTCTAATATTTTTGAATTGTGGGTCGCCAACCAAAAAGGTTAAGAACCGCTGATTTAGATAACTCAATTTATGCTTTGAATCAATTACTTTTATATTAACTTTCCAATGATTATAATAGTATTTAACAATTTTTAATGGATTTACTTAATGTTTTAGATAATTTAGTTGCTAAGGTTAATTGCTTTTTTATTATTGGACCTCCAAATTCAGGTAAACATTATTTCCTAGATGCTATTATTCATTATTATTTTAATTTCGGACAGGTTCATAACTTTAATAAATATGATCAATTCCCCTTATGGGAAATAAACTTATTGGAATGAACCAAGTTGTGAACCAGCTTCATTTGAAACTTTGAAAATGCTGTTAGGGGGAGATCCATGACCAACCAAAATTAAATATGAAAGTGATAAGGTTATTATGAGAACTCCTATATTAATAACAAGTAATTCCGATGTATTTCCAAAAGACGAAGCTTTTCGTACTAGAATTATAAAATATCATTGGCAAACTGCAAGTTTTTTTAAAAATTTTAATAAAAAACCTTATCCCTTAGCATTTTGGCATATATTAAATAAAAATAAAGTTTATGAACATATACTTACTAAGGGATTTTAAGGATTTAGATATGTTAGATTTAAATATGGGTGATGGCAATCAATTTAATTTAGAAATAGAAAATAATACAATAAATTGGAATAAAGAATTTTAATATATGTTTTATTTACAACCCAACATCCCAATATACCATCATTGTACGTCCATCACCATTAAAAGGCATTCTTCTTGTATTATGGAATGTTGCCTGCATTAAAGTAGCATGTATTAGAGTTGAGTCAGCATATAGATAGATAGATAGATAGATAGAAATTTATTTGTCACTAAATAGTTACAAAATCGTCAGGTACAAAGTGCAATATATGAATGAATACAGAAAAAAAATATATAATACAAATTACAAAAAAAACGCATATAAATTAAACATAAATAAAATGTATAAATATCATGTAAACAGTGGACATATAAGTAAAAGTTTATTATCACAGAATTTCCAGGTACTCATCAATTGTATAAATATAATTTGCTAACAGAAGGCTCTGTATGGATCTTTTAAAAGTCTTTGTGTTCAGTTTTTTTAATTCTGCTGATATTGGATTGTACAATATTGGACCCCAGTAACCTATCCCTTGTTTTGTCATTTCTAACCTGTGAAGGGGAATAGTCAAATTGGTCTTATTTCTGGTATTATAGTTGTGGTATAGTTCATTTTTTATAAAGTTGTTTTTGTTGTTATGCACAAACAGAAGGCAAGTAAGTATGAATATGGATGGCAAGGTAAGTATTTTTAAGCTTTTAAAGTATGTTCTACAGCTTTCCTTTTGGTCAATTTTGCTCATGACTCTAACAACCTTTTTTTGTAGGACAAAAATCCTGCTAATGTCACTGGAAGCACCCCAGAAAATTATTCCATACGAAATAAGACTATGAAAATTTGCATAGTAACATGTTAAAGCAGCCTTCTGAGTTGCAATATTCATTAAGGTGCGTATACTATAAATAGCTCTTGAAAGTTTGTTGATAAGTTGATTTATATGATGGGACCAATTTAATCGACTATCAAGTTCTATACCCAAAAATTTAATGGATGTTATGGGGTTGCTGAAGCTGAATGTAAGTTTTTGTGTTTTATTAATGTTCATACTTAATTTATTGCTTACCATCCATTGGCTTGCTTCTGTAATGCAGTCGTTTGCCTTATTTTCTATATCTTCTTCAGTTTGGCATTTGGTGAGAAAAGATGTATCATCTGCGAATTGGTAGCCTCCATATGTATCAACATTTGGCAAAAGGTCGTTTACATATACCGTGAATAATAATGGTCCAAGAACTGATCCTTGTGGAACACCATGTATAATAGGTAGGCTGGTTGAATATGAGTAGTTCCAGAAGACGTGCTGGGTTCGACCTAACAAGTAGCTTGACATTAGATTTATAACAGTACCTCTAAATCCATAGTGAATAAGTTTATCCATAAGTATCTGGTGGTTAACTGTGTCAAAAGCTTTTGATAAATCGCAGCACACCAGCTGTACTATCTCTTTTTTATCATAAGCTTCTATTATTTTTGATAAAACGCCATTTATTGCTGATATTACAGACTTGTTTTTTCTAAAACCATGTTGTTCTGGATTGAGGATTTTGTACTTATCCATGAAAGATACCATTCGCTCCTTAATTGCTTTTTCAAAGACCTTTGACAAAACTGGGAGAATTGCTATTGGGCGGTAATTATCACAGGAATGTTTACATCCTTTTTTATACACTGGGTTGATTTTCGCTATCTTAAGTTCTTCTGGATAATAGCCTTCTTGGAAGCACAAGTTAATAAGAATAGTCAGTGGGAGCGCAAGTTCTTGACTGACTTCTCTTAGGACCTTTGGTGACATTTCATAGATATCTCTGGTTAATTTTGGTTTTATTTTACATATAATGTTAAATGTTTCATTTACTGTCAATTCTGTAAGGTAGCATGAACTTTTATTTTTTTCCGTCTTGGATATGTAATTATCATGATTTGTAGTTTGTCTAGGAAGAGCATTTATAGTTTTTTGCGCTACTTCCGCAAAATATACATTTAGAATTTCTGCTGTTAGCTGTACATCTTCAATAACAGCTTCTTTATTTGTAGTGGTTTCTTTTTTAATAATTTTCCAGGTAGCCTTTTGTTTATTGTTTGCCGAAGATATAATATTTTCATTATATTCTTTCTTTGCATTTTTTAATTTATTATGATATATTTTTTCCAAATTATAATAGGTGGTATAGTCTTCATTTGTTTTAGTTAAACTTGCTATGGTTGCCAATGCATCTAAGGTATTTTTTAAGTTTTTAAGTTCTTCATTTTGCCATTCTATGCTATGGTGTTTATGTTTATTTATATTTTTATATTTTAGAGGAAAGGCATCTCGAAATTCTTTTAAAAGAAGATTATGGAACATTGTGTATGCTTCGCGGGAATTTCTTGCTTCTTGAAGAAACATAAAGTCTACTTTTTGAAGATTTTGTTTAAAAAGGTAAGTATTTTCTGGTGTTATATCTCTCGTTAAGATTTTTTTTACTTTATTTTCTTTTTCAGCATGCAAATCCACTGTTACACACTGAGAATAATGGTCAGAAAGGTGTAAATTTACGGTGTTTTTGGAAGATGTACAGAAGTTGGTAAATATATTATCAATGCAGGTCGCGCTTTGCTTTGTTTTCCTGGAAGGTTCAAGTAGATTTGGTTGAAGCCCATAGGAAGCCATAATTTGAATAAGTTCGTTTACTTCTTTTGATTTAGCTAAAAAGTCTAAATTGAAATCACCTGCAATAACAATTTTTTTGTTGGTGTTTGAGGCTGTAATTGTTGACAATATTGTGTTTAGTGAATTTGTAAATATACCTAATTCTCCTGTTGGCGATCGGTATATACAAATTAATATAGTGTTTTTTATTGTTAGTTCAATTCCTGTTATCTCAAAATGTTTTTCAATGCTAAATTTTTCCAGTGACATATTTTTTGTTTTTATATTTTGTTTTGTTAGTATTAGGACACCCCCATGTTTGTACATTTTCCTTGCAAAATAACTAGCAACTTTATAATTGGCAATGTTAAGTTGTTTTTCCAGAAATGTTTCGTTAGCCCAATGTTCTGTAATGCATGCCAGTGATATATTTTTTGTATTTAAGGATACGGATAGAATTTCTTGTTTATTTGTGATTGATTGTATATTCTGATTTAAAATGCTTATTAAATAATTTAGAATTGAGTTTTTGTGTTCATTTATTTTATTTATCTTTGAAGATGCACTATTTAAATTCTGCTGCTGCTGTTTGGTTACGAAAAAACCTGTATCTATTGATTAGAACACCTTTGGGCCAATTTTCGCTTAAGTATAGTTCCTCCAAAATTGAGATATCTGTCTCAATCCTAAAGGAAATACTTTTAGCACCCTCTCTTACTGGACAAGGTTCGATATTAAAGTCATTTCTTTTAAATGTGGTGACTACATAATTTTTTATATCCTCTGGACTAGTATTTAAGTTTACTCTCCCCAAATGTATAACAGCTCTCTTAGGGGCACTTTTAAAAACATTTTCTTTCTCGTTGGATCCTACAACTTTTGCTTTGTTTTTATTTATTGGTTCTTGCGATTTTCCTTGGTTTCCACTATAATTTGTTGGCTGGTTTTGTTTTCCATGATTTGAATCTATTTTCATCCCATTGGCAACGCCGCAATTTATTTGGTTTATATTAGTTCGCTGATTTTCCTGGTTTCCCTGGTTAGAAGATTTTTTGACTGCATCGGCAACGCTGCAATCCATTTGAGCAGAATTTATTTGTTTACTTTTTTGTAATAAGGTTATTATTAATTCCTTATCACTCACTGTGGTTTTTAATGTTGCAATGATTTCTTTAGAACATTCTAGTTCAACTTTTGTTAATTTTAATTCACTTTCTAGCTTAATGAACGGTATGTTGTTTTCGAGGTTAACTTTTGCCAACTTGCTGGTTCCATCGTTTTCGGTGTCTTCTACATGTCTACGCAATTCTTCGCTTACACTAATGGTACTGGGAACACATTTATTTAATATAATTTCTACTAAATGATCTTTTTTTAGTTTTAATAACTCAGCTGAAAATTCACTTGATGTTGCCATGTTGCCAACAGACTGTTGGGATTGCTTTCAACAGTCATTTTAAATGTAACTTCAAAATATATACTTGCATTTTGAATATCTTTTGCTTCTACTGAAGGATTCAATGTTGGAGTTGGTAGTAAGCCTAAATGTTATTGTGGTTGAGCCTTTTGTTTATTATTATCCAAAGGACGATAAACATATGGTTTTTCAACAGGTTGTTTATACTCATAAGTTTTATTTGTTTGATAAACATTTGAAGCTGCGGTTCCATCAAATGGTTTTGCATTATCTCCAATTTTACAAACTCCATCTTTTTTTTGCTGTACTCCTCTTGATTGTGTAAAAATAACAGTATTATTTAATGTATCTCTTTCTGCTCCAATTGGTGTTATATTAATAGGTGCAACTACATGTGAATAATTATAATCTATTATTGTTTGTCCTACATGAAAACCTACATGATATCGCTTCATTATTTTTTCAAGATAAGGTGGACCATTTTTATGTACAAAATAATCTGGTTTATCTGCTGGTGCTGTTTCATAATTTTCTCTAATACATGCATAACCATTTACTGAACTTGTAGCACCCATAATTCCACATGCATTGTCTGTGTATAATTTTTTTATATAATTATCATCGCTTCTAAAGCTGTAGGTATCATTGGTTTTGTTGCTTCAGCCGTATACGTATGTACAATTATTTAAAGAATACAGAAGAATAGGTGGAATAGGTATGCAGCCAAATACACCTAATTATGTGAGTGACTTTGTAAGAGTGTTATGTTGTGTGAAAAAATCATTTAGTGAATCGTGTGTTGTGCCTAAGCATTAGTACTTTAAAATCTATCACATTAATACACATTAGTGATAGTAAAAAGTTTCTAGAAACTAGTGACTATTAAAAGTTAGGGCTGCAACGTTATTGCAGCCCGTGTCTCTATAATCATGAGTGATGATAACAAGAATAAAACCTGCGGAAGATGACAAAAGTTTCCTACATCGTCATCTGTTGTCTGTGTAATATGCGGATCTATTTGGCACCCACGATGTGCCAAACAGAAACAAGCTATATTTATTAATGATAAAAAAATTAAATGCTGCCAAATTGAAGAGGCTTCTAAAAATAAGGAAAATGAAAATAATCCTTACTTAGTTGAAATCTTCTATTTAAAAGAATTATTAAGACAGAGAGATATTGTTATTGAAACCCAACAATCAAACATTAATTCCTTAAAAGAGCAAATATTATTGTTAAAATTTATAAATAATAACAATAAAAATCAAAAATTACAATCAGATCAAGAAAATTCAAATAAAAACACGGGAGCTGCTGTCAAAAATCCAATTAAAAAAAGCAAAAGCCCGGAAATCACAGAAAATAAAGTATCTACTGCAATATTGGAAGCGAAGAGTAAGACTATTTGCGATCAAGTTATAAACCTAAATAATGAAACCGTATCTGCATCTACCAGTCAAAGTAAAACCTGGACAGAAGTTGTTAAAAAGAAAAAAATAATGTAATTGTAACTTTTCAAAACTCTAGCAACTGTTCTTTAAAGGTCGTCCCAAAAAATCCTTTGTTTATGTGTCAAGGTTGGAACCTAAAACACAGAAAACTGATATCGAAAATTATTTAAAGGGAAGCTTCCCAGAAATAACGTGTGAAGTGGTTCCATCCAAACACCCAGAGTACTACGCGTCATTTAAATTAACAGTAGATATGTGTAACTTTGAAAAGGTAATGTGTCCAGAGCTCTGGCCGCAAGGTACATACTTGGGCAGGTTTTTTCACCCCAGACCAAAGAATCAACAAATAACATAATAAAACAACACTTTCAAAATAGAACCAAATAATATTCCACTAAGCAACATTAGAACATATTAAATTTAATCCAATCATTAAAGTATAGAGAGAAACATGTTCTGAATGAACTCTTTATCTATTTTAATTTTTCAAAATTAAAACCATAAGCATACCAAACAAATGATTTTTCAAATGTCATAACAAATGGTTTAATCATGGGGGATTTATATAATCGTACACACCCCTTAAGGAAGGTTATTAAAGCCATTATTGGGCTAGGGTTCTTCTGTCCCCTTTTAATAAATTACATTTAGTTATACTACCACTCAAAAATTCTTATGCGCCAAGGTGATCACTGCGGTTATAACAATAAATATTTTTAATTAGTGTTTTCATATAATTTACCTATTGAGATATTTTCATATGTTGTGTGGTAGTAACGTTGAGTAAAGTATATCGTGACTGATTTCGCTTTTTCCGTCTAAACCGTGACCTTATTCCTTTTCAGACTGTTGGTTTGCGCACCTTTCGGGATTGATTCACCCTCTCCCCTGGTAATTTTATTATTTGGTTATCTAGGGCTATTGCGATTATTTTAAAATACTTGGCGCCCTTTAGACTTATTCTTATTTAGAACCCATTCCAATCTCCACGGAGACTTGGCCGCGAGCCTATAGACTGTCGGGTGACAGTTGCTATAAATATTCCAACCCCTCCTTAAATAGTAGAGGGGTTGACAAAGTGTAGTTCTATCTTTCGCAGACAAAATTGTTTCAGAGAAAGGTCGTCTTCCTTTCCACTTCTACTATGACAATTTTTTTTCCTCTTGGGATCTACTATTAGTTCCAAGAGATAGAGGTATAAAAGCCACTGGCACTCTAAGGGAAAACAGAATTACTGCTCCTATAATAAAATCTGGCCCAGAACTAAAAAAATCAGAGAGAAGAAGTTTTGAGTATGCATTGGAGAAAACAGAAAATTTTATCGTATGCAGGTGGAATTATAATAATATCGTCACAATGTGCTTCAATTGTGAGTCTGTTTTTCCAACCCATACTATATCAAGATTCTCTTAAAAAAAAGAAGATATCTGTACTTCAACCAAATATGATTCAAAAAATATAATCAAAATATGGGAGGCGTAGATAGAGCAGACCAAAACCTGTACAGAGTGAATATAAGAGGCAAGAAGTAGTATTTTCCGCTGATTAGTCACTGTCTTGACATGGCAATCCATATTGCATGGCAATTTTATCGACACAACGGAGGGAAATTAGACCAATATATTTTTAGAAATCTCTTGCTACTGAAATTTTAGACAATTAATTAATTTTATTTACAGAAACAGGGAATCATGGAACATGGACATTGGCCATTAAACCATGGACCAAACTGCTCTAAAATGCATGAGTAGATAAGCAAACTGCGTTCTGGCTCACTACTTCACATTTCGGCCGCATGGTAGCGCCACATGCTGGGATACTCAAGACAATATTTCAAAATTTTAATGTATTCTGGGGCGACACGGTGTTTTTTTCACACATTGAGAAGCATTTTTTTGTGTGACGCCACCTTTTGGAACTATACGTATACTACAGGAGCGTACAAAATAAGATCGAACCAAATATTACAGGGGCGCACAAAATTAACCTAAAAATGATAGGTGTACATACAGGGTGTCACCAAATAAGTTGTCATCCTTTGAGGGGATTATAGTATACGCCAAAATAAGAAAGTTTTTTCTCTATTGATTTTGCATTAGTCCCATTTTTTTTATAAAAAAATCATTAAATTTTTTATAAGTAAAGTAGAAATTATGAGCCGCTACTGGTTGTTCCTGACCTACGATAAATTACTAAAATATGCCCGCACAGTGGGCAATACTCTACATTTATTAAAAATTTACATTTGTGTTATTATTCAATACTTGTTGATAATTGTTCTTTGTTTTGCATACTCAGCTATTTTTAGGTACTTTGAATAAAACAATACTTACTTTTTATTGTTAGGTATCTCGAAGTTTCTGTGGTTTTCAAGTGTTCAACAAAATTATAAAAAATGTTTAACTATCCCGCCGTTATTATCCACACAAAGTATCCGGATGATTTCAGATTTCATCTGCCGCTGCAGTGACAAGTTCGCGAAGTTGTTCTAATGTGTCAACTTCGCTTTGGTACACTAAACTGTTCATGAAGCCCCAGAGGAATCACAATAACAACCAAACTATCAGTAATCAATGATAACAAAGTACTAAATAGGTTTAAAAGTTGAATATTACCAGTGATGGGTCAAGAAAGTTTCTTAAAGAAACTAAGAAAATTGAATGTTTAAAAGTTTGCTTGATATTACATAATACACTGTGCGCATACCTATTTATTTTTTGCTTGGATAAATAATACCATTGTTTTTAGAGGTAAAAACAATGATGATATATAGGATAGGTCAGTGACTTTTTATTGTTAGGTATCTCGAAGTTTCTGTGGTTTTCAAGTGTTCAAAAAAATTATAAAAAATGTTTAACTATCCCGCCGTTATTATCCACACAAAGTATCCGGATGATTTCAGATTTCATCTGCCGCTGCAGTGACAAGTTCGCGAAGTTGTTCTAATGAACAACTGTTCATGAAGCCCCAGAGGAATCACAATAACAACCAAACTATCAGTAATCAATGATAACAAAGTACTAAATAAGTTTAAAAGTTGAATATTACCAGTGATGGGTCAAGAAAGTTTCTTAAAGAAACTAAGAAAATTGAATGTTTAAAAGTTTGCTTGATATTACATAATACACTGTGCGCATACCTATTTATTTTTTGCTTGGATAAATAATACCATTGTTTTTAGAGGTAAAAACAATGATGATATATAGGATAGGTCAGTAACTTTTTATTGTTAGGTATCTCGAAGTTTCTGTGGTTTTCAAGTGTTCAACAAAATTATAAAAAATGTTTAACTATCCCGCCGTTATTATCCACACAAAGTATCCGGATGATTTCAGATTTCATCTGCCGCTGCAGTGACAAGTTCGCGAAGTTGTTCTAATGTGTCAACTTCGCTTTGGTACACTAAACTGTTCATGAAGCCCCAGAGGAATCACAATAACAACCAAACTATCAGTAATCAATGATAACAAAGTACTAAATAAGTTTAAAAGTTGAATATTACCAGTGATGGGTCAAGAAAGTTTCTTAAAGAAAGTAAGAAAATTGAAT